AAATTTAACTCCATGAAAAACCGGAAAAACTCAGCACTGGTCAGAATAACATAAATTCTGGAATTTCCTAATCTTTTATCACTTATTTCCTAAAGTCTATCCAACTATGAGAAACTCACAAAATAAACTCTAATCAACTCAAATAGGCATAAAACATAACAAAAAACATAATATGGAAGGAATAAAAATATATAAATTACACTCTTATCAAATACTGACAAACGCTACAAGACAAAACCACTAGTTGGTACATCACTAACACATACAACATGTTAATGCGTAACATCCAATCAATCAACTTCACAATAAATGCAACAAAAGTAGAAATGGCATTAAATGCGAATACAACTCAATCAAAATAGATGTGAAGTAATGAAAAGAAATATTCATCATTTAATTTTCTCAAATCAACGTTTATCATTCAGTAAGTTCTATGTAAACATTTAATCGCAATGGACAACCATATTCATCACAAATTATGCACAAACTACAATAAAGTATTGAAATCAAACATGAAAAGAAAAAAAATATAGTTTGATACACAATATTACTGAATATCCAATGATCGGGCTCATCAAACTAGTCGAGAGCTGATGAGGAGAGTAGTGGAGTCAATCTCGATCTCGCATATGCCACAACGAACAATCGAAAGCTCGGTCGCTCATGGGTGTGTCGATGAAGGTTGGAGTGGTGGAAAGGAAGCTGGTCATGGCGAAGAGTGCAGAACCAAAAATGAGATGATGCGAAGAAGGAGTGGAAACGACCAACGAACAGCCCAGAATACGAACCGTTGCAACTTGCCGGAATACGTTAGTTTTTCGATGGGTTTTCTAACAAAAGGTGGCGAAAATGGGATTCGAAGGTACCAATGGAAAGCTCATGAGCTAGGGGGTCCAGATGTGTGGTTGGGAGGACCAATTGATGCCAGAAAAGGCATGAAATTGTGGCAGAAAGTCGAAGAGGCCCGGCAGTGGAAGATGAAAAATGTAATAACTGCTTTCTACTAGTATACTTTAGAACATATACAAAAAAAACATACATAATTAGTATATGAAAATAGTTAGGCCCAAATTTTTCTTTACTTACAAAACATAATTCTTTATATATATCAAAATAACAAGTACAAAAAACTTAGCAACAATGGACAGTAATGCCAATCCTCCCTGCTTGTCGACATCCTTTCGACCGCTGCTCACCTATTTCCTGCTAAAATATGGAAAAACAATGGGCTGAGCAATAAAATGCTCAATAAGTAAATCCCTTAACTCTTCCCCTTCTTAGGTTCTTTCCTTACTTAATTCCTTTTTCTTTTCTTTCGCTGTTTCTTTCTCTGTTTCTTACTCTCACTATTCTTTTCTTTCTTTCTACTTCTCTCTGTTCTTTCTTTCTTATTCTTTCTATACATACTAACCATGAAGAAATTCAAGGCAATATGCATGAATAAAATGCATATGCAATAATGCATAAAATGTTTTTTCTTTCTTATTTCTATTTTCTTGTTCTATTTCTTTTCTTGTTCTATTTCTTTCTATTCTTTTCTTTTCTTTCTTGTTTCTCTTTCCTTTTCTTTTCTTATTTTTCTCTTCTTTTCTTTTCTTGTTTTTCTTTTCTTCTCTTTTCTTGGCTTGTTCAAGTCTTCTCATTCTTTCTTGTTCTTATTCTTATTCTTTCTCATTCTTTCTTATTCTTATTCTTTTCTTTTCTTAGTCTTTGCTGATCAGACTCAGTTGATGTATGGATTTGGAACCTTGGCCGTGTGAGTGAGTACAATCCTCATCTATATGCACTCTTGCAGACCGTACAACTTTTCCTTTCTTCTTAGGCCACTCAATTAAGGTGGCGTGCATGTAGGAATTCTTCTTGGTACAACCCTCATCCACATACACTCTTACAGGTCGTACAATTCTTCTTCTTCTTATGCCACTCAATTAAGGTGGCATGTACGTGGGAATTTCTTCTTAGCACTCACGGTTCCCCATCACAACAACCTATTCTTTTCTGTTCTTTAACACTCTTTAATTCTTTAATGTCCTTTCTCTTTATTCTTAGAGTGTTTTATTCTTTATGCTTTATTCTTTATTCTTTAATCTTCATTCTTTATTCTCTATTCTTTCTTAAATTTCTACACATACACAATTATATGCATATGGATGGCTCATGCTTGAAATTTCTTACTTACATGCACTTATGAAATGCACATATGCAAATGTTGCATAAAATTAAGGTTTCTACCCAACTCATACTTCACTTAGGCATTTCATCAAACAATAATTGTGCATGAACAAACCCTAATTTACTTATCATTCTATTGGTTTCTTAAACCACCCAAATTGAGAGAAAAACTCTCTTATATCATCACCATACCTATACGGCACAAACACTTCCAAAAGATTTCTCCAATTCTTCCAATTTCAACCCATCATCAACCCATCACATACACTCCTCATATTCAAATATATCCAACAACAAGCATAATTAATCATTAATCTCATCTCAATTTCTTAATAATCATAACATATACATATTTAAAGGAAATCTCTACTCACTTGATTTTCTTAAACTTTAACTTGAGTTGGATTTCGAGTGGAATTTACTTACCTTATGCTTGAGTAGTCTCTTCTAAGCTCTCTACTCTTGTTGGATTCAAATCTTTTCTTAACCCTAAGCATAAACTTCATAAGAACTCAACTTTTACACAAATAAATCATAGATAAAGAGCATGAATTCTTACCTTTTGAAGCCTAGAATCAAAACCCTATTAAAAATCACTCAAAAACCCTTAAAATCCTTAGAGGAGTGAATGAAAATTTGAGAGAAAATGGAGGAGTAGTGTGGCGGTGGAATGAAGGAAATAAGGGTTACAAACCCTTATCATCTTACTTTATAAACTCACTTTCCCATTTTGCCCTTACACTTTTTTGGAAATTCCATCCTTGTCCCTTAGTCAATTACCATAATGCCCTCATTTTTATTGTATTCTTTATGAAATTCTCTCTCTTTTCACTCCCCACTAATTTTGAGTGAAAAGACCATTTTACCCTTAATGCAAGTTTTAAGGCATTTCTTCATATTCTCTTAAAATAATTCTAACAAAAATTAACTAAGGGCTATAAAACATAATTTAAATCATGTACCTCCATGTTGGGCGTTACAAAAAGTCACGGCGGTTTGCAGTGATCTTTCACGGAAAAAGGCGTGTAAGGGTGTTGGAAGGCCGAAAATGAGGAGATTGGTGCTGGGGAAGCTTAAACGTTTCCGGAATGTGAAGAGGTGTGGCAGTGGAATGCGTATCGTCATCTGAAAATAGAGGAATGACCATGGAGGTGATGCTGTAACGTGAATGGATGCTTGGAGAAGTTAAATGGTCGTCGGAGAGTTGCCGGAATCCAATAAGGTGAGCTTGGGTTTGATGGGAGGCGGCTGACTGCCGCTCTCTGAAACTATTCATCTACTTTTATACTAAATCTAGAAATTTTCAGTTTAGTCCATGCATGAATGAAAATTGATAGAATAAACCCCTAAAATATGACAATTTACACCTGAGTAGAATAAATGAGACAAATTTAGACCTAATCAATAAATTACAACCTAATGTCGACTCACAACATCTCAACAATCATTCCAAACATGCACAAATTGCAAGGAAAAATTAAAATATGATTTTCCATTAATAATTTCATAATTTCTTCAATTGTCTCAATATAAATTCAATTTAATTACACATAGGGTCCTTTTATCACCAAAATAGGGTCACTTTCATGACTCTAACAGTAGAGAAAAAAACTCAATCAATTCAGCCTAAGAAGGAACAAATTTGTAAGTAGAAGGAAGTATTAGCAACATAGTTGTAGGGGATATAAATGTAAATGAAGTCTAATTAACAAAAAGCTCAGAAAAAATGTTGGAGAGATTTAAGATAAATTAAGAGATTGGAGTGTAATGTAATCCATAAAAAGCATGGCGAGTTTAAGAGATTGGAGCGAAATTGGAATAAGAGAATGGTGGGCAGAGACAGACTTTGTTGTATACTACAGTAAGTCGGTTCTTAAAACAGCTGTTGGTAGAATTTTCTTTTATTTATTATTTATTTTTTCACATATTTTTTAATTTAAATGTATGTTTTAGCTAGGGATGGGCATGGGCCGGGTCGAGGCTAGGGACCTCATCCCCATCCCGGATATCCACTCCCATGACCGTCCTGGCCCATCCCTGGTGGTGGGGACAATTCTCATGACTATCCTCGGCCTAATGAATGGGGTTTTCACGGGGAAATTTCCCCACAAGGATTTATCCCCAAATGGGGAATTTTTCAATTAACTAATTACAATGATAATTAAATTTGTGTAATTTGTAAGTCGTTAAGCAATTGTGCATATTCTTACATTAGTTTGGTAAATTGTAATAATCTAATCAAATTTATTTTTTGGGCATGTATTATTATTTTGCGAAATTCACAAAGTAATAATACATATATTTAATTATTGGACTCTTTCGTTTAAATTATTTTTTCTATAAATTTAAGAAAAACATTAGAAAGTATTATAAAATTAAATATCATAAATTTAGATGCATCACTTAAAAGTTAAAACCATGATTTAAACTTTAACTTTATATATAATCTCACATAAAATTCTCAATAAAAGAAGGCAGGATGGGATTGACGGGTCGGGGCGGGGCAGGGATTGCACAATCCCCTCCCCCAGCCCATCCTTGGAGGCGGGGATTTTTTTGAGGACCATCCTCGGCCCTATCCCGAATATGTCCGGGGATTCCCCTCCCCATTCGACGCCAAATCCCCATGGGGCCGGGGCAAATGCCCATCCCTCTTTAACGGCAAGAATATGAGACATTTTGGGTATAATTTACGCCGAAAGTATGAGGGGATGTTGGGTAATTGTGTAGCTTTGTCTATATTTTTATTTGTTCAAACGGGTTGTATATAAATTATTTAAAAGAATCTTTGTTCCATTCTTGTGTTAATAGTGGTTAGAATCCTGATATTTAAGCTTTGGGCTTTGATTTTTGGTTTCAATTTTACTGCTTGTATTTGCAGGCAAAGCCGCCAAGGCAACAGCGGATCCTTTTGCATCTAAGACCTACAAAGAGGAGCAATTAATGTCCATTTAGAATGGTGGTAAATATTCATTCTTAAATTGAGTGATTTTGTTCACCGTTCCTCAACTATTCTATTTGCATTAATTTATTCAAGGGCTAGAATCTTTATTGTATATAGTAGTCTTGTATTTTCAGAGCAAAAATAGTGGAGAGGCATCTTGTTCTAGCTTTTGGTTTCCTCATAGATTGAATTTTCTTCTTCTGGGTTTTAGATTTGTAAAGCAGAACACAATTTTCTGAAAATAATGTTTGATAGTCCCTGAGTTTCTAAATTTGTCAGAAGGAGGTTGATTTGATGATAAATTGTTCCATTCTTAAGACACGAGAAGCCGAAAAATCCTTATCCTTTATACGTTCTTGTCATTAGTCCTCAAACTCACTAACATTGCTTTTTCTTCATTTATCATTACATCAGGGAGGCTTGTGCTGTATGAGAAAACTGAGTTTTGTTGTTAAATTTTAAGGCAACTCGTGTTTTGTCCCAGATTGCATCTCAAGAATGGACAGTGCGCAATTATTATAATAAGACTGCTGCAAAAGCATTGCTCCAACTGAATCTGTGGGATGATCATAATTCTGTCAACAAAGTACACCAAGTGAAGTTAAGCCTTCAACCATGTTTAAAATGAGTGATTTTGTTTCTATATGCTTCTAGAATGATGGTAAATATTCATTCTTAAAATGAGTGATTTATTTCTATTTGCATTAAATTATTTAAGGGGCAGAATGTTTCTATTGTTTCTGTACTGGCTGAATGTTTCTATGGTTTCACTGATTAATTTTTTTTCTTTTGCACAGTTATGCCGTATGTCATTAATTGAAGATTTTGCCTTTCAAGATATTTCTGCCATGCAATTCTAACCATCCTTTAATTGTATCTAGTATTGTATTTTGGGAGCAAAAATGGTGGAGAGGCATTTTGCCCTTGTATTTTGGTTTCTTCATAGATTGAATATTTTGTTTTTCTAGGTTTTAGATTTGTGAAGTAGAAGAAAATTTTCTGAAAATAATGTTGGCTAGTCCCTAAGTTTCTAAATTTGTTAAGAAGAGGGTGGGAAAATTGATAATATGTTTGTTACCATATTTTCTGTTTAGGAATGGCAGAGTACTTGTGCTTACTTTGACCTTGCTGCTGGACTTCATTTGACAGGTGCATATTCCCTGCTCCAAATTTTCTTTACAACAAAATACCAAGGTACTACTATCATCACCACTTTGCTTGTGATATTATATGAGTTTGTTCATAATCGTTAATGTTTTCTTATAATATATATTAGGAGTGGACAATAACACTTTGCAGTTGGAAGTTTCCTAATTATGTCTTGATAATTTAAGCTGTCTGAGTTTGTAGGATGATAATTCAGTCAAGAAACACCATCCTAAGTTAAGTCTTCAACCATGTAAGCAGAAGTTCTTGTTCCAATCAGAATGAGCAGTTATGTATGACTTTTTAGTTTCAGTTAAAGATGTACGAACTAAAATAATCTCCTAGTGCTCATTTTTGCTAAAAAGAGAAAAAAATCCTGAAACTACAATTATGTGATTAATTCTATTACCTCTTCTTTGCTTGCTGATGATTTTTCTATTGTTTCCACATGATTAATCCATTAAAGATGTTTAAATTCTGAACCATAATACACTAATACTCCATTGAAGAAAAAATCAACAAGGGCTCAAGAATGTGACCTCTGTGGTGCTCATAGAAAGACTTTTTATGAGTAGGTTTAAGATTAAAGCTTGGCTCAATATTTTTGAGTACAATGTAATATACCTCTTCTTTAAACATTGGGCACTATGTAGGATTTTTTCATAAAGAATCTTTGAAATCTATTTAAAGATTGTATTGTTGAAAGTGATTATTTACCTGCAATCAAATGAGAAAGAATCTTTAGAATTGTCCGTATTCCAAATTTCACTCACTCATGGTTTCTTGTAGATTTTGAATAAATGGGATGAAGGGCGGAATAGGGAAGAAAAGAAGAGTCAGTACTTGTGACTTGGTTCTGAGGATTTTCGCTTTGTTCTTACTCTTGCTGCCATAATTATGGGGGTGAATAAGGATGTTCACCAGTAAGCCTACTGTAAATTTTTCTATGACTGCTAATTGAGGATTCCAGTTTGCCTTCGTGTAAGTCCTTTAATTTCCCGAGATCATATCATTTTGCAATTGAAGAGGTTTATTATTAGAAATATGTAAAAGAAGATTTTAAAAAGAAAAATTAACTAAAAGATCTCCTCTTTCAATATGTTTCTGCCTGTTATGATAAACACCTTCCCTGCCCCTCTTGGATTCCTTGATGGTCACCACATATCCTCCAAATACAGCAAAGTCGAAGGTCGCAGTGGAACTTTGAATGTTCATCATTAAATATGAATGAGATGAAATGAGTTAATTAAACACACCAGTTACCATTTTAAATGTCACTTATCCCTTTAGTCATTCTTGCTTTATAATTCAAGTTATGAACACCAAAACTTATTCAAGGCAATCATTCATAAGATGTTAAACATGGCAGACATATCCTCCTTCCACCCCACCAAGCAATTGATCTTCTCTCATACCTGTTAATCAGAATGGATGCTAAGACAGAAAAACAAAATTATTATGTTTCATACACAATCGATGCAACACCAACACCTAACTTCTATTCCTCCCACTCAAATCTTCCGTCACTCTATCTCTGCCCTGCAAAACAGTTTTTATACTCTTCCCGGCATTAAGTTTTGCTCAAGTGATCATCAATTAATTCCTCATTATTTGCATAAGAAGATTTTTGGTTTACCGTTTTCCTTTCATCCTATCATAGATTGTGATCTTTATTCTTCTCAAGAAGGTTGGGAGATTTGGGAGTTTTATAAAAGTAAAAAAAAATGATGAGGATCTTTACTTTTTCACTTCAAGTAAATGTCTAGTAAGAACAAACGAATTTGTAGGAGAATTGGCTCTGGTTCTTGGCAAGGTAAAGACTGCCAAAGTTATTCAGACCTCTGATATCACTATGTTAAAAACAGAACACAAGTATAAGGAAAAGCCAAAGACACTGATGATTACATTCGTTAGTAGCCTTTATATAGGCATTACATGAACTGACTTTGTAGAAAAATAACAGACTTGAACAAGAAATCAGGAACTGACTTTAACGTGCAGAAACTAAAGCCTATTGACTAAAACATTAAGTTAACATCTTATATACTGGAGCATTATCTCCTTTATTAACGAAACTCCCAAAGACTGGGACAACAGACACATAACAATTACTTCAAGACTCCAAGTATCCAACATTAATAACTTGCTCTGTTGTTTTGGTTGATGCTACTGGAGGTTGTATAGTTCATTGGTTCATTAATTTGAAATCTTATATATATTGTTTCAATTTTCAGGTTGGAAGAAGATGCATCTCTAAATTGAATTTGGTGGAAAAGAAAACTCTAAAGTGCCGACTTCCAGTTTTCTTCCTCCAGGTTATAAGTTTCACCCGACTGATGTTGATATAATTGCTTATTACCTATACAACAAGGTTTTTGGTTTACCATTGTCCAATGATATTTTCAAAGATTGCAATCTTTATGGCAGTCAAGAACCTTCGGATATTTCGGAGTTTTACAGAGGAGAGAAGGGGGAGTATCTTTACACTTTCACTCCATTGAAGAAAAAATCCAGGAGGGCAGAAGAATTTGAAGGAAAGTCAGTTCGGGTTCTTGGCAGGGTGAAGATGCTGCCCAAGAAATTCATGATAATAGAGTAATCGGGTATAAGAACAGATGTCGGTATGAAAACAAAGTGTCAAAGCATGATGGAGAGTAGATTATGCATGAAAGCACGTTATTGCATCAGGATCAGTTTGTTCTTGGTCGAATTCGAAGAAATGATCAACTGACTAGGAAAAGGCATTTGGGAAAAAAGAGGAAATCTCATGAAGTTGAACATACTGATGAGAATCACCAGTCTATAAGTTTTGTAAGGTCCAAAATGAACAAAAATGGATTGAATATGAAGCTGTGCCACCTGTAAATGATCATGACTTTACTGAAGACGATTCAACGAATTTAACACTTACAGAAGCACTTTTTTCCTGGTCTTAGTACTGATAATGAGTTTGCTAACCTTGGTGATTTATTTCCTGGTGATGAACAAGAATAGTCCACATACTCAAGAGAAAGTGAGTTTCCAGATAGAAACTGATGATGAGTTATCCTTTCATCAAGATCTAGAATTCTTCAGTTCAGTGCTTCAATTAGTATTAGCGCCTTCAAGTGATGAAGATTTTCAGATTTTCTCTTCTTATGCAAACTAGATGACAGAAACTGGAACAAATTGAATTGTTTACCATTAGTATCAATCTACTGGTGAAGATTGTTGAATTGGGTTCCTGAACCTCCATTATTACCTGTGGAAAAAGCTACCTACTTATATGATTTTGGCAAGATTTTCTTTTATTATGCTTGGGCAGAGTAGAAGAGTTTCAAATTATGCTATTCAAACGTACAGTTTAAGATCAATTCATTTAAACTTTTCCACAAATTTGTTTCATCATCTCCAAATTAAATGTGGTATTTTATTTTTTCTAATGAGTCTGGCTCTGCTCTGATTATTGCTTTAGTATTAGTTATATTGTTACCTGAGAATGATCCGTTAGTATGTTTAATTCAATGGTGTTATAAATTATTCAAATCTTAGTAACTGCTGAGTGTTGAATATCACGGGTTTGTGACTATGAAATAGAGAAACAGGAGGAATGTGGGGTTCCCATAGCTATTGTCAAGGCTGAGAATAAATTAGACTGATGAAGCAAGACTAAATTATGCAATAAGGAAGCAAATCGGGAGGATCAGAGGAAGGAAAAACAGAGAGAAAAACAGATGAGAGCTGAAGATGAAAATATTTTTTATTCTCTTGATATTCATATAATGTACATGATTTACAAATATACAAAAAAAAATTGACACAGCCATTCCTTAATTAAAGCACAACTGACATAAAGAAGCAAAAGTTCCTTGAAATAAGGATCATCATACATTTTAACCAAAAATCTTCAACTAATACAACTACTCTTCTAACATGAAAGATAGTAAGAGATACAAACAACCTCAATCTTCTAACTCTCCTCCTTGAGGTGTTTGTTATTTAATACCCCAAGTTTCATTCTCAGATTTTCAAACTTAGGCTTAGGAAGAGCTTTGGTCAAAATGTCTGCCACTTGATCATCTGAACTACAGTACATCAGGTTGATTTCACCTGTGTTTTCAGCCTCACGAATAGCATAAAACTTGACACTAATGTGCTTAGTCCTACCAAGATGAACTAGATTTTTGGTGATTGCTATGGCTGCCTTGTTATCCACAAAGAGTGTAACACTTCCTTGTTCATCTTGTCCCAAATCTAAAAGATTTTTCACAGCCAAATGGCCTGATTAGCAACACTTGCAGCAGCTACATACTTAGCTTCTACTGATGATTGAACTACTATTTCTTGTTTTTTTGAGTTCCAACAGAACATAGCACTTCCAAATGAAAAAAAGTAACCCGAAGTGCTTTTAAAGTCATCTAAGCTCCCTGCCCAGTCACTGTCCGAGTAGCCTATAAGTTGATTGCTACCCTTTTTAGAGAACCACAAACCAAAATCAATAGTTCCCCTTATGTACTGTAACACCCTTTTGGCTGCACACCAGTGGGATTTTCCTGGTGAATGCATAAACCTAGAAAGTAGAGATGTAGCAAACATTATATCTAGCCTGGTAGAGGATAAATAAAGCAGGCTGCCTGTGAGACTTTTGTATGATGTAACATTTGCTTTCTCTTCTGATTCATCAATCTTCTTCAGTTTTTCATCCACTACTAAAGGTATTGCAATAGCCTTGCAACCTTCCATTTGAAATCTTCTCAACAAATCTTGAACATATTTTTTCTGAGAGATGAATATGCCTTAGTGATCTTGATTTATTTCCATACCCAAAAAGTACTTCATTTCTCCCAAGTCTGACATCTCAAATTCTTTTTCCATATTCTCCTTGAAATCAGTTACTGATTGCATATCTCCTCCTGTCACAAAGATTCATCAACATACAAGAAGACAATAAGAAATGGATCACCATTTACCTTCTTAACATAAAGAGTGGACTCATTTGGACTGCAGCATAAATCTTGGTTTAGCAAGTTAGTATGTATCCTAC